CATCCAATTTGCTCTTGAAGGTGTTCAATGTAGGTGCTTAAACCACCTCTGATGACAGTCCATATGTCTACTAACCTATCTTATGACCACCATGGCTCCTTTGACAGTCTAAAACCTACCTTTACAGTTACACCATTCTCATTCCTATTATAAAACTGCACTGTACATCTGTGCACCTGCATGCCCCTCACCCACCTTTAACTGTCACAATTACGTAAAGAGCCACTTCAGTGCCTCTACCCCCTAACTTCCTTCAACCCCCTCCCAACTCTTCAGCCTGTTTCCCCAGTACTTTCACTTGTAACTGTATTTGTTGTTGTCTTTGACTGATCTATCTATATATCTATATCTGTAGATAGATATAGGAAAAAAATCAGTATTTTTGGCAACAGTGGAGAGTATTAGAGCTTGCCCCAGCCTCTCTGTGTGCTGGCCTAGTATTGCAGTACCTCCAGGCCTGGTGCTTGTTCATGCACGTGCACACACACACACACATGCACGCACGCACATGCGCACACACACACACACGATTCCTATCAGTAGGTTTGCCCAATATGGGCCATTTGGTTTATAGGCATGCTCAGTGTTGGCTTTATTTTGATCGGCTTCATTGTTGGTTTCCATTGCTGAGCACATGCTGCTTTTGGCACCAGTTTAACAATAAATGATATATATTTAGTGAAGTTTCCTTGTATGCAATTGTAAGGTAAGAAGCTTTTTTCCCCATGTTGCTTGGGGGGAAGGGGGGAACCTTGTCTTATATTTGGGTAAATATGGTACTGCTTAATTACTTTAAATGGTCCAATCATGTTCTCAGTGTCTGTATGTCTACATGTGCAATTAATGTGCAATAAGGTAACTGCACAGTAAAATATGTAGTAAACTGTGCCCAGGACAAGCACGGATTTGTTTCCAATGGGAGCAGACCAGTCCAGGACTGCTCCTACCTGCTCTTCGCCCTGAACCACCTAGGGGGAGCTCCAGGCTTCCCTGGGGCTGTATGGGGCACAGGGGCTGGTCCCAATGTCCACAGGGCTGGGATAGCTGTGTGGCTGCAGCAGCAGCTGTCCCCAGCCCTGATGCATTCCCCATGTACATGGGGCTAGAAGAGCTGTGCGGCTGCAGGGGCAGCTGTCTCCCAGATGTCTGGGCTGAATGGAAGCAAAATTGCTCCCAGTCAGCATCTTTTATCTACTATCTGCATCTATAGGTAGTGTTGTAGGGCACTAAGGTGTGCCTGCTCCTCTAAGGGCAGAAGCAGACTAGCAAAGGAGCCAAGCAGGCTAGGCAAAGCTCCACAGCTGCAGGTTGCCAGAGTAATAGGCAAGCAAGGCAATTAACCAGCACCTGCAGGTGATCAGCTGACCGGAAGGAGGAAGAGCCCAGGAGGCATATAAATTCAGGGCTGGGGCTGGCCAGGTTCAGTCTCCCTGGTAAGTGGCAGCAGAAGAAGCTGCTATGCAAGAGAGTTGCCTTATACAGCTGGCTGCCTGGTTTGCTACTTCCAAGTGTAGTAAGGCCCCAGGAGCCCATAAGGTACCCAGGGCTAGGAAGCATGTGGTACAAGGGCTGAAGTTTGCCTTCTTAAAGGGGCAGAGCATGGTCTCTTTTTGGTTATGTTATTGCCCAGAGGCTTATGTTTGTGTTATTGTTTGCACTGGTGGTTTTGGGATGAGGCTATAAGGGGAGGAGGAGGCCTCATTAGTGCCCAAAGAGTTACAGCTTCAGAGGCCCAGTGCCAGGGAGGACCAGGTGATAAGAGGAGGTTGATGAGAGTTAGTGTCTCAAAGCTGGACTCAACATAGTGGGTTTAGGCTAGAAGGCCTAGCTGTATTAAAGGGGCAAAGACCACACAGGCTGAGGCCATAACAGAATGTATAACAATGGTGTAACACCCTTGAGGCATGGGGTGTGGTAAGGGAAAAGTTGGAGCTATGTAGTTAGCCCATATGGCTTGAGGTGTCCTGTGTGGCACAGTACTGCTAGAGGTCCAGCAAAAGGCTCAAGGATCAGTGAGTTCTAGTGAGGTTTAGTGGACTGGGGCCATACAAAGGTCATGGGCAGCCTCCTAATTTATTTTACCATCAAGATATGGCAGGGGAGAGAAGAGGGCATCCCCAGGGCAGAGCTGGCACGGTCATGGAGCTGCCAGAGGCATCACGGCCACCCCTGGGGATTCTGGTCCATGACACGTAGTAGCCAACCACACAGACTAATTTACTGTGGAGTAAATGCTGAACATGCAGATGGTGATGCTTTGCTTGGTGATGCATCTTGTGTAACCGCACCCACTAAAAATCAGTGAAAGTTCTGCTATTGGCTTAAATGGGAGCAGGAATGGGCCCAAATGTAGGGAATGTCAACACACAGAATTGCACCAGTTTGTTTTAAAGTGATTGCTGCAAAGGCTGAGTAGATACTTCAGTTCATCTTAAGCTGGTAAGGAAGTAGTGATGATAGTGTTTTTGTAGCCATGATGCCCCAAGAAATGCATGAGAAATTAGGGGTTTTTTTCCAATATATTTTATTGGACAAACTGTGCAGTTGGGGGAGAGGTTAGATATGTTTTGGGCACAAATCCTCAGATTCCCTCAGGTTTATTGGGAACACATTTAAGTGAAATAGAAGCAAGAATATCTTCACAGGAGTTTGCAATAGTTTAACAAAACTAGTGCAATTCTGTATATTTACAGAGCTGTAGGTCCCAAGCCTGCATGTTAATCCACATGGACAAACTCCTGTGCCCTGTTAACTTTGATGGGATTCTTCTGCAAATAGGAGTATTCTGCCCAGCACAGCTTATTTTGCAGGATTGTGGCTATAAGTATAGAACGCTTCCTGCAAGAGGTGAGGGGACCCTCTGAAGTCAGTGAGTAGAGACCACTCAGCATCTCAGTGGCTAGATGCTGAAGTGCTTGCCCGGTAGATTACTGTAGTCCTGAGAAGCTGTTCTATTGCAGTTTCCTCTTCTTACATCTAACTTCTTTGCTTTAGAATATCCAATGCTTATTTTCAGCCCAACTAAACATCTTCTTTCTAAAAGGCTGACAGCTTCTCTTCAGCTGCTTTCATGTGCAGAGTTCTAATAAAAAAACCCAAAACAACCCCCTCCCCCCTGCCGCCATAGCTCATTAAATATGAAGGCCAGACATTGTTCTGGGTTTATTTTAACTTTACTGTTAATTTGTCATGTGTTATTTCTTTGTACAAATCCCTTACCAGGTTACATCTGTTCAGATTTATTGCTCTCTTGATCCTATGATAAAAGCACTCAATGGTGTGGAAAGATATATCCTTGGGGCATTACAAATAAAAATAATTGCAGAGTTTTTTATTAGGTAAAAAATTCAAAGTTGGAAAAATATAATTAACTATACTGTCACAAATTGAGCATTTTAAATTAGTGTAGCTGTTTTAATTTTCTGAGCATATTTTATACAAAGATAAGTAAAGAATGTTATTTCCTATGTTATCTGGCATGTAAGGTAACTTGTCATACACCTGTTATTCTATTTCTGCAGTGGAAGCTCGGTAACTTGCACCAATGTCTAGAGGGGCATTTGTGAATCTTTGTAAATGAGAAAATAAGAAGCAAATCTTGGGACAACTGAAATTAGTGACAAACCTCCATTGACTTAATTGGGACTGCAATTTGGCCTTGTGGCCACATTATGGAATGGTACCAACCAAGCATCCTCGACTTCTACTAATTTCAGTGGGAGTTGAAAGAACCTCCTGGAAAGAGAGGAAACCATGACAAATAAATTAATGTACTAGAAAAAGTATTGGATCACAAGCTGTACTTTATACGTATTGCTTTCACAGCTGGGATTTAGTTCATTCTTTGAGATACTGCTTAAAGACAAGAGAGCTTCTTGAATAGGATACTGGATTTGGAGCCAGAAGTTTGTTCTGTTCTCAGTGCTGGCATTGATTTGCTATGTGATCTTGCAGATTATCTCACACCTTTGGCTGGATCCAGACATGCAGGCATGTGTGGTTTGTGGTGCTGTAAACCTTTTTGCAGTGCCACAAACCACACACTAATCAGCTCATGGCATTGCTGATTTGCAGCGCTGGGGCAAAAATTGCTACTAGTATTTCTCAGAAGCACAAAAAAAAAAAAAATTCCCAGAAAATAAGTGGCACAACCCATGCCAAAATGGTAAGTGCTGCTTGCTGCGGAGCCCCTGTGCTGAGGCACCCTGCCACCCAGCCAGTTGTTCCCTCAAGAAGGGGGAGCAGGCAGCCCTGGGCCACTACTATTTGTGGGCATGCCCCTGCTCATGTGGACTCAGTTTTTGCTTTCCCTAATATCCTTTGCCCATCTTATCTCTTCAGACAAGATGGTAACTCTTTGGGACAGGAGTTCTCCTTGGAGTAATCTGTACATGTTCTATGCCCAGCAAAATGGAGTCTCAATCTTAGCTACAATCTCTAGGCATTGCCTTAATACAAATAATGATATATCTGAACAGAGTACAAAATGTAATGTATCAAAATGAAGTGTTAGTAATGAGATCTCACACTGCAGCATCTGTTGTTACATCTCTGAGTGATGGACAAAGACCACCATTTTTTTATTCCCATTACAAAGTGTATAGTTAAGGAAACTGCAGATTAAGAATATTCTTGAGCAGCATTAATTCACACTTAAACTTCATTATTCATTTTCATAGAGTTCACTTGTTTACTGTAAAGCTGTATAGAAAAATTAGCTGCATGCTGTAAAAGATTAGCCTTCCACCATTTACTGACTTATATTTGCTAGTAGAGAACATAGGGTATATATTAATATGGGACATTGTATTCCTTTCTGCCCCCATTTTAGCATCTGAGCTTTCCTGTAAACTAGTTCCCCACACATTCCACACCACTAGCCACAGAGTAACTATGGATTTTAAATAGCTCTTGTCCCCAGCCCCTCCTCTACAGTTATTCCTTCAGCCCTCAACAAAAATATTTACAAAAGTGGCAGCAGGTTTTAAATATTCATTTTTATTGTGGTACTACATGGCCCAAAGGGCATGTCAAGAGGCCTCTATAAAATAAAAAAAAGAAGCAGTGAGATTAATTTATTGCACCTCTTAATATTCTGTTTCACCAGCTAAGAATAGAGGGAAGTAGTTAGTCAAGAATACATGCAGAATTTTTAACAGAGTAAATAAGTTTATTTGCTGTATTATTAATTGCCCTAATTTTCTAGAGGATCATGCAATTTAAATGAGTCCAGGGCTCCCTCTTTATTTAGTACGAGTGATTCTTGCTCGTAAAAAGATATTTTTCGGAACTTTGATTTACTCATTGAAGCCCTAATCCTACAAACAAAGCAGAAAGTGTACCTTTGTGAGAGCCCCACTAAAGAAAACAGCTACATCAACATTGGAAAGCACGTACCATTAGCATGTACATTCACTAGCATCATAAACATAATTTTCTCTTTTGTGTAGGGTAGGGCAGCAAGATTTAATAAAAGTGTTACTACTACAAGCGTGGTCAGGAATAAGTTGTGCCTGCTTATACCTGGGGATTTGTTGGTAAAAATGTGCAAGTGCACATCGTTCGAAGAGATACACCTCACTGGCAGAATCTGCACTGGTCAAGTGTGAAATTAAGCACCTGCAGATTGTTGGAGGGTACTGAGTCACAAGGACAGTAGCAGGCAGGGTAGATTTGCACCTTTATAGACTGTCATTGGTGGCAATCCCTCGATTCAAGGATGATCTCTATCATGGCTCATTGATGAGACTCTACCAAAATATTACATATATGCAGATACATCACTGGATGGTATGTGTATCTCAGAACATTCAATAGGTTCACCCTTGCTATACTTAGTAGTGATGCTCTTGCTAGCAGAAGAGTAGTGGGAATAGTAGTCAAAATATTACATGACTCGAAGCATCAAACTTGCACAAAAATCTGCTGGCATATATGGATGTTAGCCAGAAAGATACCAAGATCCAGATCTACAGTGCAGTCTCCTCTTAGGCTGTAAAATGTGGGTGACCTACCATCAGCATCTCAAGAGCCTGGAGAAGTATCACTAATGATACCTGTGGAAAATCAAATGAGAAGATTGCTGCACAAACCAGCATCCTTGCTGAAGCCAACATGACCAGTGCTGAGTCAGTGAACCTCAAGCACCAACTTTGGGCTGGGCACTGTGTGGATACCTGAACCTTGACTCCCAGAACCACAGGTGACTCATGGGGGGGGGGCATGTGCCCCCTTTGACATTGGCCACTGCTGACACCAGCTTCTGCAGGTGGTCACTGATCACTGCTCACCACCCTCCCCCTGCCCCCCACTGGCTTCTGTGTGTGATTGCTGCTTGCCACCCTGCTGCCATTGCTGCCCCCCCAGTCTCGGGAGATACCAGCGCCCAGAACAATTGCTCTACTCACAGGTAAATGACAACCTGAGATCTTGTGGTGGCTACAGGAAACGCTACAAGGACACATTGAAGGCACACATCAAGAAAATGGATGCTGACACCTTGAGTTGGGACTAGCTGGCTGCTGACTGACTCCAGTGGTGCTGCAATCTCAGTGAAGCAATCAGCCAGTTTCCGTGTAAAGCACCTTGCCCTTAAAGCAGAGAAGGGAGGTAGGAAGAGGAGAGAAATCTCAGCCTACTGCCTACTTTCCCCTGTGGAAAGACCTGCAACTTCTGTGGACAGATTCATGACTCAGGGATTGGACTCATAAGTCCCCTCAAGATCCATCCATGTGCCCTGATACAGATCATCTGGGAACGGAGGGATTGTACCTTACTTAGCAGGTGTGTTCCGTGCTAATGAGAGAGTCCCACATGTTTTCCTCAGCTGAAGTTGACTTCATCAGGTCCTGTCACAGGACCCGCGCACCCCCCGGCATTTGAAAGTTCCTGGAGCCCCCAGACCTGGGGGCTTGTGCCCGGGCGGCAGCAGCGGCCACGTCTGAGGGGCGCTGAAAGCGGGCGCTCAGGGAAGAGCCGGGGCGGCGGCGGCCGCCCTCAGCCCGGCCAGGACCTGCGCTCTCACGGAGCAGCGCGGGGCCGGAGCCGCCGGCGGCGCTCACTGCTAGGCAGGGGGCTCCCGGCTGTCAAATAGCGACGCAGCGGCCGCTCAGCCCGGGGCTGGAAGCAGCTCCCCGGGGCACCCTGCGCCCTGCCCCGAGCCGGGCTCGGCAGGACCTGGGCAGAGCGAGCGGCTCCGGGATCCCGACATCCCTGCCCCGCGGCGGCCGCCCCC